TATATATATATATATATATATCATTTGCATTGATAAAAATACATTATCAAGATAAATATGAACAAATTATTGGCTGATTGTAATATTGCAAACTTTAATTACACATGCTGGTTTTCATCTTACCCAATGTTTTCACATTTACAGCAGCAGAAGCAGCAGACAAATATGGCGATGATGATCACCCCCGCGGTCACAGAGATGGTAATGATGAGAGTCTGGAAATTCACTGTGATTCAAACAACACAGAACAGATGTGATCATTCCTGTACAATATTCACAGCTTGTTCTCGGACACAGGCAATAAATGTAGAAGGTTGAACTGGCCTTGACACATTTTACAAGAGTATAAATGTTATAAAGTGAAAATCAAGAATGTCATTAAGTTAAAGCTACCATAAACTATGCACTATGAATGTGACAGTCTTACTCCAGCACACTCCCCATCGTGCTTCTGAGAGCGGACACACACTGTGAGAGGGTAGAATGCTCTTCACTGGATAGTCAATGCATTTCTGGCTTGAGATGCACCACAAACACTGAAATAGAGATAAATAACACAAACACATATTAGACACATTTTTAGAACACATTTTATAATGTTTCACTAATTAAAGCTGTCTGTATAACAAACACAGGGTTTCGAAGTCTGATGACCACAATTGAATAACAAATTATATCTTACCGAAACAATCTTCAGACATTCTTCACAAGTGTGTTGGATTTTAACGTGCAGTCTGTGAATAGGGGCAAGTCTGACATCAGTGACAACCTATTTGAACTTTTTCTCTGTTAGACACTTCAAAGATTTTAAGACAAGTACATTTCTAAAATTGATTTTAATATTTGAATTCTGAACCATATATTCTCAGAAATCGGCATGGATGAACATAAAACATATTTTCGTATAGCAGTTATATTAAATATTATCCCTGACCTCTTAAAAGTCTTCTACTGAACACAATATTCATTTGTTTTCTAGCCTATCATGTGATTTCAACAAAAGTCTCTCTGCCTAATAAACAACCCGCAGGAAACTCTTTTGATAGTACATTCAAATGAGCAAATAAAATGCCAGTTTACCATGGTTACGACTAAAAGCATCAACATTTTGAAACACAACTTTAGTCATATTTTAAAAGGAATGTCAACAAGTAAAACAGTGCTCGTGGTCCAGAGTGTTAAAGCGATTTGCTTTACTTACCGAGTCATATCATCACAGCTAGAAGTCACTTCCAAGTATTGTCGATAAACAGTTATGCTTATACATGACTTCTTATAAAAACATTACGATTTCTAAGAAATCAGACGATATGCTGGACGATTAATTCAGTAAATGTCTGCTGGCCAGACAAACTGCAAAAACATTGGCTGCGTTTCAAAACCTTGAGAGCTGCCTACACAGACAGCATTTGGGCATCAAGAGCGACTTCTGAGTCTGAACCGAAATGAGCTGATGTCCAAAATGCGACCCAAGTAGAGAGTTCGACAAGTAAAGCCTAAGCCATTGTTTTACCATATCTACAGGGTTAAAACTCTTGTAAACACACAGCAGTATGGCTGAAACTTACTCGTTGCTGGACTTGTCGTCTGACCAAAAACTATTACAAAACTGAAGGCAAAGAAAACAAAAGACAGTAAAAAAGGCCGAGTTTGGATCATTATGGCAAACGCAGCGGGTCTGTGTTGATTTCAGGCCTGGCTGGTCATGTGTTTGCTGGAAGGACTGAACGACGGCTTTTTCAAGAACCTCCCAGTTTCGAGTTTAGAAATAGTGGTTTATGGTTAAGCAGGATTTAAAGCGCTGATTTAGTTGTTGTTTTTCTGACGAGCAATAATGTGGATTTATTAAAAGTAAATAACAGGCTACATTCAAATAAAACATGAGTTTGGAATACACCTGAACCGATCTGTAAACTTTTTTTAAATGGCTAATTTTTGTCAAACAAATATTTGTAATCTTTTAGGCTAAGTTTAATAACATGTTCTGCCTCTGAAAGAACTTTTTTTTAATATCAAGAAGCTTTCTTTTTATGCACTGATATTTATTTTTTTTTGCTGTAATTCATTCAGCTAAAAAGTATGTTGTGTGTAGGAGAGAGCATACAGGAAAGGCTGGGATTTATATTCGAGTAAAACATATAAAACATATGACTTCAGAATTTACTGCCCACATGTAGTGCTGTTGCTCATAAAGCACACCATAAAACAAATCTTTGACTGAACCTGTGCAGTTATCATATTTGAAGGGAATACACTTTGTGGACACATCTTGCCTTGCACTGGAGAATCGAAGACTCTTCAGGACCCTGAGTCCATCTCTAACACCCTGATATGATGCATGCTGATAATGGACCACTATGCCTTCATAGGGAAACTAAAATCCACAGCAATGCACCTTTTTGTTCATCTCTATATTATATATTCATCTTTATATATTTTGTAACAAAGTTGAACAAAAACAAAATCAAACAGTTAATCTCCAAAAATATTCTTATTACAAGGGAACTTAGATAAAATAAATGAATGCAAGTTGTAATTTATTATTTTATATCATATGCATGAGATTGTGGAAAAGCGAAGCACAAAGGAAAATATAAGTTCATTTGATAGCACTTAAATAATCCACACCAATCTGGAATTTAAATAATTTAAGCATTTTGTAAATCCAGTTACAAAAAAAAAAGCTGTTTTTGATTTTCATCCTCTACACAAGCTGGAATATTTTGATGCTAAACTAAATATGATGACGCAGATTGGCAGTGAACTGACCAGCAGCTCACCAGATTTATTAATGGAGCAATAACAGAACTTTGAATGAGGTTGTGGTACCACATAAATGTGACATCCTCCATTTATATTATCACTGTTACATCACTGATGTAGGGAGTCTGTACACGACATGCCATCAACTCAACATCACCATCCATACAATGACACTAACACTGAATAAATACCCAGCCCACCCATAATTATTCACCCTCTTTTTAGGTACACAAAGTCATCTTTCAGTTACAAGTATGCAGGCTTCCTTAAAAAACATTCTTAAGAAAAAAAGACAAGCATATTCCAAACATCTGTCTCAAAAAAGGTTTGACCTATAAACTGAAATGCATCAATTTATCTTG